CGACTGGTCGAATAAATAAATTTGAAAATCAGCGGCACTGCAGATCCAACCGAATTCAATAAATTTCGTCTGCACATACAAATATGCATATTTAATTGCCGAAATTTTCGCCCATTCGAATTAAAATGACCGAGGCAGTCGCATGCAATGTCGCTGCAGAGCACATCGGGCGATTTGAGCGCTGTCATTGAAGGCGACATGCGAACTGCGCGCACATTTGATGCTGAGCGTCAGAATTGCTTAGGGTGCCTGCAGAGCGGACGCTGAAAGCCGAGCGCAGCCGAAGCTGACGAATGCGAGAAATAAGCTTCAAAGCTGTGTGCGTACATTTTCATATGAAATCGGACAGGCAAAGTAAAGTAGAAGTTGACCGAAGCCGCACCTAAAGCACATCAATGCGTTTAAAAGCGTTTTTCGGCGCTGACTCGAATAGTGCATATAATATATGGTACATATGTATAATAAAAACACTTTTGGGGATAACGTCTTAAATCTTTATACAAATGGTGAAATTCGCCGAGTTCATCCTGTTTTGTATTTATCAATGTTTTCTATCCTTTTTTTTAGTATTTGGGACAGAGTTGGAAACAAAATATTTTTTATTTTAGAAATCCATGTCTTCTCTTTTCACTTGCATAAGCACAAAAAAATTACCATACTAAAAAGCAATAAATGTGCGAGTATAAAAGCAATATCGCGGAATTCAGCGCTAAATATCGCATCCACTCTACGATACCTAAAATCGATCAGCGCTGAACGAAATCAGCTTTACGCTCAGTTCGGCTTTCAGCGTCCACTCTGCAGGCCCCTTATGGCCAATACACATAGAACTTTTACTTCGCTCTGCGTCAGACATTTGTTTTGACAGAAAAGTTTTCGACGCAAAGCCAAGCAAATTGTTAGGCAACTTTTATCTTTTTACGCTTTGTAAAGCAAAAGTCGTCATTTTTATTAGAGAAAAACACTAAAAACAAATTGTTCATTGTGGCATACTCTTTGTTTTCTGCGCTTCATTGTTTCAGTATGAACTGTCACGCAAAGCGAGGAAAGTTGTATGTGAACGTGCCTTTAGCGTGCCAAGGCGCTGACGGCATAGTGTATAGGGAGACGTGTTGTACGTGACAACTTTTCGTTAACGTCAAATATATATGTATAGGTTTGTACTTGTGTAAATCACATTTGTACGACAAGTCTCTTGTTGTTAGAACAGTTCTATTGTTTTTACTCAGTGTTTTTTTTTCATCTTTTATTTATAGATTTTCTCAGATATTTCATTAGCTTCTTGGTTCATTTGTTTGCTACGCGATCATCATACATACGTATAAATACTTTGGTCAATAAGTGGGGGCGTGCCGCCGAATATTACCTCATACATATTTTTGTGAAACTGTAAACATAAGATAGACGGGTTGTCTGAAACAGTCGGTTCTTTTAAAGTTTTTGAAAGAAACGATATAACATTTGTAGATGGCTTAAAGCTTACAAGACTCCATATGCTTCAGAAACAACAGGAAAGGTACTGCATCTAGATTCATCTACAGTGGTGGTCACAAAATTACCACACTCATTTTGAAAGCAAAAAATCAAGTTTATTTCGACAATTAGGTTTTAAGTTTCAAACTTAAACATTGTTTTGAAATTATTATGTGAATGCATATTTTCAGTGTAGTATTATATTTATTAATTCTCCCTCCGTAAAGAAAAAGTAAAATAAAAAAGTATTTCTAAGCCTGGGCACGATGTTAGTAAATTCACAATTTCTTTTTATTTGCATCGACTTTTTAAACTGACATTGACAGACTTCAATTCTTATGTTGGTATTTGGTTGGAAATCCTCTATTTTCGATAGCTTCTGTATATCTTCTACTTAAACTTTCAACTAAAATCCCGCATCGTCTTCTTCGGAATTGCATTCCAAGCCTTTTGAATTTCGGTTCACAATTTTGCTAAGTTCTTCGGCTTTTTTGTTCCAAATGATGCTCGATGTCATTCCACAAATTCTCAATTGGATTGAGACCGGGAGACTTAGCTAGCCATTTTAAAACATTGATTTTTTTGGTTTCTAAGAACTCTTCACGAGTCATGATGTGTCCTTTGGATCGTCATCACCCATAAAAACCCACTTCAAAGGCAAATTGTATCATAAGGTTCTCAAGTAGGTTCTTGTACAGATATTGAATTCATTGTGCTGTAAATTTTGGGCTTCTAAACGGGTCATAACAAAAATATTTCGAAATATTTCGTCTTCTTTTGGAGACATTTGTGGAGTCTGTTTTTTGTTCTGCAAACTTTTGTACATGTTGTATGGAATATAGTTTATTCCGTGAGCATTTTAGTAAGCGAGTTCTCTCCGCTATTGATATTTCTTGGCTCTTAAGTTCTTAGACTAGCTTCCTCTTTGCTTATGAACACCAGCGACCTTTTGCCACGTCTAATTTTAATCGTCAATATTATAAACTAATTTTATAATTTCTCAAACTTCTATTAATAATTACCTCAAATTTTTTTGGCCACACCGAAACTAAATCGCAAATATCACCAAACTAAAAACTGTGCTAAATTCGTGTTCAGCTTTAAATCAGCATTAACGCAAGATTTAAATTTGCCGCCAAGTTTGTAGTAAAGTTTTGACAACCCTTAAAAAAAATAAATCAACAGCTTTGGGTTCATTTTCAATAAAGTATGGTCCAATTATGCCTTCAGCCCAAAATCTACACCAAACAGTGACACATTGCGGATGCATTTGTTTTTCGACAATCACATGTGTGATTCTCAGAACCCCTAAAGCGGCAATTTGGGCGATCAGCAAATTCATTAAAGTTCATCGCTTAGGATGATTTTGCTTGATAAATCAGCATCCGTTTGTAGATGCACAATAATCCATTTAACAAACTCTCTTGTGGTCGTCATTAGACTTCAGTTGCTGTGGTAATCGAATATTGTAAGCATAGAGACACAGACCTTTAGTGAGTATATGCTGTAGAGAGCTTCTTGAAATTTACAATTATTGACCACGACGCCGAATTGAGGTTCCTGGATTGTCATCGATACTCTCATGCACTGCTTCGATATTCTCATTTGAACGACTTGTTTTTGGACGACCAGTGTGTTTGGCGTCTCTAACGGATCCTATCTCCCGGAATTTTTCAATTAATCTTTCACAGTTGATGAAGTTAAAACACTATTCCGAGCATATTTTGTATAAAATTTTCGAACTGCCGCCGTCAAGCTTGCATTATTTTTGAAATATTGTCAATGAAGACACGTGGTTCTATCGTTTAGCTGTCGATTTGTTAACTTTGGGACACCTTGTATATATTGCACCGGTATATTTATACACTGAACAGGTATATTAAGTTTGCCACGCTGTTTGTAACACCTTTTGAGGAACGTAGGAGTCCCTATAAAGTATATGGGAAATAAAAAATGGAAATAAGAGTCGATTTAGGCTATAGCAGATATATGCAATACAAACTGACCGATCAAAATCAAGTTCTTGCATGGAATCTTGTATATTTGCGAGGGGTATTATGGCTTCGGTGCTACCGAAGTTAACGTCCTATCTTATTTACACTGTACTTCTAAAGAACCTACGAATTGATGATTCTGAGCAGTGTTTGGAGCGGTTCAGTTATAATAAACTAATGACTTTTATACACCTATAAGTATTACCGTTTTCCAATACACTCATTTGAATTGAAGCTAAAGCAATTAAACTTCAGATCAACCAAGTTCTATTTTATATATTACGAACTTCAACTATTTTCAGTTCATTTTGATAGACGTTGCCACGCTTTATGTTAAAGTGATGATTTGAAAGGTAATTAAATAGCTGGAAATTTTTAAATGAATTAAAAAAAATAAAATCTAAACAATTAAATTCAGTTGTTGCTAACGAAAAAGTAAATAATTATTAAAAATTACCTTTAGTTTTGATTTATAATTTAATTTTGTTTTTACTGTTTCCCAATTGTAGCTTGCCTCCTCCAGTTTCGCGATTTTTACCTACGAGCTCAACAAATTTTTCAGCTTGTATTTGTACAAAATAAGTGAATAATATAAAGATGAATATTGTTAAGTATATTTACCCCTTTTCTATTTTCTTTAATATTTTTCTTAAATAAAGGCAGTAATGTTCAATTACAACTGTTTGGTAGCAGTTGTAATTTTTTGTTATTCTAGTCAACCCCTCTGGCACAGAGTTGACAACCGTAATACCACAAAAAATTGAGGTTTGACAACACTTCAACCGATACTCTTTTTGACAGATTGAGTTGACATCAGTAATACTGAATTTGAAAACTTCAACCAAAATGCTGTTGAGTTGAAAACCGTAATATTTAGTTGCTTTAGTTATAAGATTATATTATATATTAAACATTTCGCACTGCCAGATGTATTGTGTCAATTTTTTTGTGATGTGTATGAAATACTTTCTTTAATTATCTTGAAAGTGGCAATAATGTTAACCGTGCCTGTTATAGCGTTATTGGAACGTGGGAAGGACGAAAACTGGACGATATATATATGAAGAAAATCGATCTATAAATACTATTTCTGATAACAATTCGACTCTGAGGTTATTCGGAGCTTTACTATATCTTTAACCTTCTCACATGTCTGAAAACAAAAAAAAATCGTTTTGGTTAATCACATACTCGGGTGATGAATTTAAATAAATTTCTTCATCTTTTAGAGTTTTCAAAGTCAACATTTTATTACTTTCAGTTTAAAAAAATTTCGGATATTATTTCAATATTTGTATTGAATGAACTGAATTGCTGGTGGTATTTGCGTTCATACCTGTTTAAGGTTAATTTAAAGTAGGCACTAGGAGAAGTGTTCTCGCCAATGTTTCCTAGGAAATTATTTACTTTTCCAAAATCAAATGAAGCTTCAAAAAATTAATTATTTCAATTCGTAATTTGTGCGACACTATTAAAAAACCCTCGATTATTATGGAACAATTTTAATTAAAATAAATAAATCAAATATTTTTGGTTTCTTTTTCACAATTCATTCAATAATTTATTGTATGTATTTCCATAGATACATATTTTAAAAAAATTCTCATTTTTTCAATAAATTCATAAATGGAAATCAGTCTTTTTCTATGTTTTAAGAAAAAATAATATATATGTAGTAGATGTATATATTGACAGAATTGAACATATGTTGCAGCAATTATATTTATATGCGTAAAGTATCTATAATTTATATATAATAAATACATAACTACAGATAAATAGAAGTATATATAATATATAAAGAAAAATTGGCTATCTATAAAAAAATAATAAATTCAGCGGTGATAGGTTGTTGTAATTCGAAGGTGAAGATGAAACTTAGTACTAAAATATTAACTATAAATATGTATATACCCACTGTACATAACTATTTGAGTCAGTTGAAATTCTTTGCATATAAAATCGATTAGTGTTTGCTTAAAGTAATCAACATCTTTTATTGAACTGCGCAAAACAATTGGTTGCCACATGTATTTAGCAAAAAAATATTAATATTTAATAATTTTATAATTTGTCAACTGCGTTAGTATACATGCATATATATATGTGTATGTAACTGTGCTAATGTTTTCTAAATCTCTTGTTGGTTTTATTTGCTATTCAAGTACTATCAAACAATTTCAACTAGTTTTCATTTTGTATGTTTTTTATGCAAGCGAAACATTTATATTATATGTATAGGTTTGTATGTATGTATATAAATTTTTATATGCATGCATTTTTATTTTTGTATTTTAGGTATATATATTTGTCAGCAACGTCAGCTTTTACAATAACTTCACACACTCATTTAGATAGTTGAATTAAATATTTTAATATATTTAATATTTCATAGATAATTTATACAGTTACAATAGTGTTTCCACAGTTGTATTTGTTATATGTATACATATTTTTTTTTACATTTTTATAGTGTTTGCTTGTGTGAATGTTTCTTCATATTTGTATGTATTTGTTGTTCAATTCATTATGCATTTATTTTGTGCGCAATTTTGCTTAAATTCAATTAATTATCTATTTTATTTGTATTTGCTTAATTTTTATTGTTTTGCATTTTAATTTTTACTTTTTAGCATTGGTAATATGGTCCCCAGCGTTGCGCTTAAATTCCTTAAATTTCCCAAGTACATATTTGCAACAACAATAGTGTAGTTGCTTAGTTTATTTGAGTAACAAATAACATTTCTATTTAATTTATATTTACCGCTACAATAGTTTTTTAATTTTTTTGTTTTTCTCTTTTTTTGTAAGCAAACCTCGCTAATACTTTAGTATCCTTTCGCCGAAAATTATTTATAGTTTTAAAATTTTGGTTTTTATTTTGTTTACAAAGCTTTTAACCAATGCTCGCAAATTCGAAATAATCGAAATTTTTTATGAAAAACTTAAAAAGTACGCAAATCTGTCATTAAATATCGGTAAATTGAAAATTTTTGCTATAAAATAAGAAAAAAAAATGGTTTCTCACTACAGTGGTGTGCGTAAATTTAGTACCACTTTCTGTAAAGTATAGAAACGCAGTCAACTTTAAAACTTTCCAAACTCTAAAATATACAAAAAATTTGTTTTTAAACGCTAATTACGCTTTTTAGCATAAAACAGTTGAATACAAATAATTATATTTATATATAATTTGGAAAATATATCAGTATGTAACAAAATAAAAACTAGCAAAAATATGAAAACGAAATTAGAAAATAATAAAATTTAATTATAAAATAATTAAATGTTAGTTTGTGTTAATTTGAATATAAATTTAGTATTTACTAAACCCACTAAATTTTTGCAGATATTCAAATCCGTTTGACCGAATGCACGGTGAAATTTAAAATTAAACATTAATCTCTTGTTAGAATTTTTCGAAATACTATATGCTAAATTGTTTTTAAAATATTGTAGGACTCAAAATCAATCGGTTACCAGCATAATAACAGTGAAATCTAAAAGCCTAATGCTCAAATTATGCGCGTTACTGTATAATAAAGTTTTTAAGGCTTTATGAACTGAAATTTTTGCAATTTCTGTATCTAATAATTTCAAAGTTGTTGTTGTATCAATTTAGCAGCTATTTGGGACATTTCTTTTATTTCGCTCCTAAATGCATGCTGTTAATTTTGTATATAGAAAATTTGGCAATGTTGATATGCTTTTGCGGATATGTTGGCAAGACTTTCACTCCATTAAAAATTTTCAAATACAGTTTTGAGGTCAGTAACAACTGAAATTTAATAAAAATAATTAAAATTTGCAGTAAAAAAATTGTTTTAAAATTGTATGCCAATTATTTGCTTGCTAAAAAATGTTAGAGTTTTTTCTGTGCCTGTAAATGATTTTTAAGTATTTTATATGAAAATGCTTATTTTAAATTATTGTAATGCACTTTCAATTGGCTATTTCGTAAGCAAACCTACCTACAGCAGTCAACTTTGCGTCCTTACAGCATAAGCATTACATTTATAGCATACTTTTGGGCCTTCAAGCATTGTAATCAACAGCAATGCTAGTTGTGAGAAATTCACTGAAGAATACTTGATAACATTAATATATATTACAGCTAAGCAACACTTAAACGCTGATTTGTATTTGTTATTATATATATATCTATTTTTTTTGTTATTATAACACTACCAATCAAGTACATATACAATTTAGTCTAACGCTGGCTCAGTCAATGAGCCTAATCTCATATAATATGTTGTTTGTGTTTTTGTTAAATAAATTTAATATTATTATTTATTTTTTATTCGTCTTTTTCTTCAAAGTGATGATAATGATGGTGTATGTGCTCGTGCACATAACGATGTATCAGCGACGACGCGCCGCCGCTCGTATTTGCCGCGCTCGCACTACCGCCACTCTCTTCGGTCTCTGCCTCCTCCTCCTCCTCATCTTCCTCACCTTCCTCTGCATCTACCTCCTCGACCTCAGCCGCATCGCTTACGCGCAATGTCACATCCAGATCATCCACCGCGCCCTCCACAGCTTCAACAGCCACCAATTCTGTCTCATCGTTTATGTCCACCAATTTGGCGGTTGCCACATTGTTCTCTTGATTGTCTGACTCCACCGCAGCGTTGGGCGTTGCATTTGACTTCGGCGTTGTGGTTGCGGCAGCTTTGCACGACGTGTAAAACAGCGCTGAAGGCGCCTCATTCACCGCCTCGTCGTCGGTTGTGGTCGGCGCGATGAGGTTCTCACATTCCGCCGGGTCGCCGTGTATCGGTATGAGCGCTGCGTAGGTGCCTATGCTCGTGTTCGAGCTGCTCGACTGTATGCCATTAGGCGCGCATGCGCTCTTCGACTGCACTGTGGGCGTATTGCGCGCAGTCGGCATGCGCAACTTATGTGCGGATTTGTACTTGCGGCGCTGCACATTTTCACGTTGGTTGTGTGTGCTCAGGGTGCTCTCTTGCAGCTTTTCGCTCAGCTTGGCGTAGAGCGCACTATCAGCATGTTTCATGGCGCTGTCCTTGCGCTGATGTTGGGCGCTATTGTTCTTTAGCCACTTCTCGATGTGCTCTACAGGTGAATTATGCGTTAACGGCGCGTCGGCGAGACTCAGAGCCGCCAGTTTATTGGCGCACTGTTGGTGTAGTTGCTGATGGCCACCATGTCCATGCCCGTGGCTGTGGTGCGCATTGGAAGATGACAGCCGCTGATAGCCACTGTACTGTGGTGAATTATGTGCGGTGAAGCTGTGCAGCGGTGTGTGTTGTTGTTGTGAGTATGAGCCGCTGCGCAATATTTTGCTCGTTTTGATCTGGTGCGTGGTGGAGTTGAGGAAGACCTTTGCGGGCGTGCTTTGGCTGCTAGGAACTGCGTTCATAATGGGTTGTACTGTTGCGATTAGTTGTTGTTGATTAGTCTGTTGATTGTGGCCGACAATTTGCGGCACCAATGTGGTGGCAGTTAAGGCGCCGACACTGCCGCTCGTTGTCGGCGGTGGCGAGTGACTGGTGCCGCCACCGCAAATAGTGGCGTGTAAAAAAGAATCGTAGCCGCACAAATTCATTTTGCTATGTACACCATGCTGCATGCCACTTTGTGCGGCGAGCACAGCGGGATTAATGGCCATTTGTTGATGGTAGATGGGTATATGTGGCTGAGGATGGTATTGTGTGGTGTTGGTGGTGCTGATGTCGTGTAAATTTAATTCGCTGCTGTTGTTGTTCGTGTGATTGCTGCTGTGACTGTGACTGCTGCTGTTGCTGTTGCTGGGACTGTTGTTGGGGATGTGATGATGATGGTGATGGTTGTTGTTGTTGTTGCTGTTGCTGTGATTGTTGTTGTTGCTGCTGCTGTGGTTGATAATTGCATTGCTGTGGTTCGCAATTAAGGTCGGTATTTTCGACACAGTATTTGAGCGCTGTAGCTGTTGTTGCTGTAACTGCTGCTGACTGTAAGGCTGAAGTTGAAGTTGTGGTTGCCTTATAGGACTCACATTTGCTTGAGGTTTTCTGAAAGTGCCAATAAAACATAACACAAATGAGTTAGTGCGCGTGAAAGAGGGGCATAAAGAGGAGCAATTAATATTCGGGTATTCTCAGTTAGTGCGTGCAGTAGTTGTGATTTGAGCGTTAGGCGTTAATCTGGGCGAAAGTTGGATATACAATGGCTAAATATCTAGTATTCTAAAAATGTATTATTCATTAAAAAATTAGTTTTAAATAGTGGAATATGTGCACATTAATAATCAACAATATAAACTATCAACAATATAAACTTCAGCTTAGAAGAAATAAGGATAAATTGGAAAAACATTAAATTCAATAACAAAGTACTAGTAATTGAGTAGAAATCAATTCCGATACTCGTAATTCCGCTATCAAAAGCAGAAAATGTGTGGAAGTTTAAGCGAAATTGTTCAAAGAGCACCAACAACTGCTTTTAATATAATCAAAATATATAAAAACATCACGAGCTTATAAAACAAACCTAAACCTAGTGGGCGAAAAATATTTTTCATGGCTGATAAACGTTGGCTGGTGCAAGTAGTAAAGAAAAACCCTCATACGAGTGCCCCAAAGTTAGCAACCGAAAACTTCATTCAGAAACTATTCAAAATATGCATAGAAAACCACAATACAATAATAGAGTGGCGAGGAAGAAACCATTCATGAGTAAGAACAATATACAGAAGAGGATGAACTTTGCACAGGATCACATAAAAAAAGATTTTTCTTTCTGGAATCGGGTTTTATATACAAAAGTAAGTAAATTCAACGTATTTCGTTCAGATGGACAATCTTATATTGTATATGGCCCAAATCTAATGAAGTGCCTAAGAAATCGAATCTTCGTCCTACGATAAAGTATTGCCTTGGTACTGCGATGGTATGGGTTGCGATATCTGCTGTTGGACCGGGAAATCTCCATATCATCGAAGGAAATATGTATTAAATTTATTATTTGAATCTTTTGCAATCGAATGTTAAAGAAACTGCTAGAAAGTTGGGAATAGAAGAAGAATTTATTTTTTATAAGGATAACGACCCCAAGCACAAGGTTAACGTCGTCCGCTGTTGGCTCCTTTACAACTGTCTCCGTGTGCTTGAAATTGTCCACAATCTCCTGGTTTGAACGTTATTAAGCACGTATGGAATTAATTGTAGCAAAAATTATAAATCACAACATAACTAACAAAACCGGATTAATAAAAGCATGGAACATTATACCAATTTCTTCCTGCTAAAAGTTGGTGGAATCGATGCTGAATCATTTGATAGCAGTTCTACAATGAAAAGGACTGCCAAAAAAATGATACAAAAGTATTAATCTTTTTTGACCTATAAATGTTACTTTGAATTCCTTTTGTGCTCCATTATTACTTTGTTATTGAAATTGATGTTTATTTCAATTTTTCCTTACTTCGTCTGAACTGAAGCTTTTATTGTCAAAGTTTTTTTTGTTTATTATTAATGTGCACATATTCCACAATTCAAACTTAATTTCTAAATGATTAATACATTTTTAGAATACTATGTAGATATTTAGGGTAACGTATAGCTTTTCTAAATGTTCCATTATAGTACCTAGTATTTTCGCATTGATAGTTAAAGCTATGATGCGAGTTTTGGACTTTGAAAACTTGTGGCTTTAATGGTGAGAGATGTGGGCTTTCAAAATCTGAAGCTTTTTTCGACAAAGTGAGTGAGTTAATCTCTCGAATATTTAAAACATTTAGTCGAATGGTAAGTGAAAAGTATTCATAATTCAAAAAAAGAATTAATCAGCTTGGACGATCCTAAATCAAAAGCTCAAAAAACTCTGACCGAACTTCTACGATTTGCAATCATTCTATTCTCAAGGATGACTTCCAAAGTACTGACAGGTATGTTGTCCTTGTTTTCAAACCAACGAATGAAAAAGCTTCTTGTAAAATCTGTCAGTCGCTCTGGGTGGCTTTTAACAAAGCTTTGTTGTATGTTCGATGAAAAGAGCTGGATAATATTGATTAAGCGGTAAAATTAGCTTTAAAATTACATATATTTACATAATTTTACCAATAAAATTTTTTTCTGTGCTGTTGCCAAATGTCACTATAATCACAAAGACTTGTAAAAGCTCGGCCAAATAGTAAAATATCTAAGCTCCAAATACACATACGTATATGCTAATTGAAAGCTTCTTGACATCCTTTAAATTACATGATCTATAGAGATAAGTTTTAAGTTCCAGATGCGGCGTTGCCATATTTCACCCTAGCAACAAAGAGCTGTAGCAGCAAAAAATTATAATGCCTTTAAGTTTTGTTTATCTTGAAACTTCACAACAAGGAGTTGGAGAAGTTCAGCCAAACAGTAATTTATAATTCCTTTAAAGCTTTAATCTATAGATAATTGCTTAATTCTCACACTACGGACTCACAAAGAACGCATGCAATAGTAAAATATTGATTATGCAATTAGATATCAAGTAGACAACAACAAATACGAGTATTCAAACATTAAAAAGTAGGTGAAATAAAGGCATCATAAAAAATAAAAGTACAAAGCAAATAATAAAATGCAAAATGCAAATCAACGCTTAACGGTGTTCATTAGACGCAAAAAATTAGGCAATTTCTTTGTTCTCCGTACTACGTCCTTTTGAATACGAAATCAGGCGAATCGAAATTAGAAATATAAAAATTGTGATTGCTATGAGGGCATTTGTTGTTGTTGTTTGTAGATTTTTTTTACAACAACCAGAATAATGCATATATGGATGTGTGTAACTAGATATATATTTGTTTGAGTAATTTATTCGGCAGGAAAGTGCTTATGTGGGTAAGTATATTTGTACAAATGTATTGTATATAATACAGAGGCCACCCTTCCCAGCACCCGGTGCTTACCCGCTCATCTGAAAACACAAACGATTCTTCTCCATGCTCTCCCGTATAATGCTCATCAAGTCGTTGCGATTCAATGCGGTTTTCCAGCATTCAGCGGAGTTGCGCTGTCGTTGAGCCAGAACGGACGAGGCGGTGTCGGCGCTCACGGCGGTAGCTGTGTTCTTCTGTGGATTACGTAGCTGAACGCCATCGACAACATCACCTAATTGCTGCTGCTGCTGCTGAGACTGTTCCAATTTGCTCGGATGTTGTTGTTGCATGTGCCGATTGTACCAACAGGCCTCGCTGCCGACCGAGAGGCTGCGCTGACGTATTTCATGGCAATGGTCCTGAAACAGCCGTTGGTTTGTTGGCGGTTGATGGTTGTTTTTAGTGGTAGCGGTGGTGGTGGTGATGGTGGAGATGGTGGTTATGATGCATGTTGAGTGCATGAATGGATGAATGGCATGATGTTCACGAGTTGTAGATGAATGAAATGCAATAACGGTAAAGATGATGATGATTGTAATGTAATGTTAAGCAGTTGTTGGTATTGAGATAGTAGTGGTTGTAGTTGCAGTAGTGGTTGTTGTTGTTGTCGTCATCGTCATTGTGATGAAAATGCAACGAAAAATAGAAAACAAAAATAAATAAAACAAAATTAAAATTAAATATACATATATACATAATTGAAGTATAACAAGTAAAGAAGGGATAAGTTCGTTTGCAAACGAACATTTCATACTCTTGCAACTTGCAAGGAGCAAAGCTAGAAAAATACCTTCAGCTGTTGGCAAAACTTCATATTCAGAAATGTTCCGAAAGAATTCAACATTCATTATTCGACAAAATTTTAAATGAATTACAATCAAATTTGGTATTTTATTAAGCGTTATTATAAGTCAAATACTGAATTCGTTTTATAGTATTTTACTTCTCGTCAGCTAAAAATATATTGAAATCATCTGCGAAGGAGATATATATGACATAAACTTAACCCAAGAGGCTAAATTTATTATAATGAGTTGATGTGAGAACCAGCGGATCGAAATTCATTATATTAGGGATATGTTGCTAGATCAATTTAATTCAGCGCTAAACCAATTATATAATAAGGTTTGTTAGAATAACGGAAATCAATATATGTAGTATATACAAGTTTGGTGGTAAGTCTAATTTATTCGCGCCTAGGCACAGTATTTAATCCAACACAATGTCTTAACAGCCGAACATTCAAATTACAATATACTAAAGTTAAAGAATATGCCCAGATTCGACTTAAGTTTTTTTATTATATAGCCATAGAGCTAAATATATTTATTTTTAATAATATTGAGTTGCCAATATGACTGAAAATAAATTGTACTACACTGGTCTCGTTGGCCTTATTGAGACAAACAAAACAATTATTCGCAAGTTATTGGTCTTAACGAAATTCAGGAAGGTTTGTGACCTCTATTGTTATTTAGTATAACCCGAAAATATTGTGAAAATCTAGCAAATTACGCTAGTTATAAAATCGGTAACGAAATGTTGGAAGATCGTTACAACTATTAAATTAAATCTAGAAGATTATGCTGAAGAATAAAATTATTTTTTCATTAAAATTAATCTTGTTAGACCGAAGATTTGTCAGCCCAAGTAGTATATATGTATATTCATGATTTATGTTAGAATTTCGAATTGTAAGATATTTCACACCTCAAGGCTTGCTCTTATGTTCTTGGATTACATATATTTAAAGTATCAACATTTAAGAAGTCAATACTACTAACTCTAGTGTATTGCTCCGCATACAGTTCATTATAAATTGTTGTCATGTTATTCTTTAAAAAAAAAATCATTGTATTTTTGGATTTCCTATAAAGCAGTTTAAGACTCTATTTGTACGGAATTTAAAAGCTTTCGTGATTTCTGCTTTACCCTTCACCGCACTCGTTGTTTCTCTGTGAACTTATTTCCCATTTCAACGATTCTAGGCAATAGAAGGTAAAATGAATAGCCGCCTGCCAAGAGGAACATTCCTTATATACTCCAACCATATCAGTAGAAAAATTAAGTAACATAAAATCCTCAAAATTTCTCATGAACTGAAAGCCATAGAAAATGAATCGATCGCACTTTAAAAGCGTTTACAGCTGTAAAAGCTTCCAACTACTACTGCTTTTAAGAGCTTTAAACTTTCAAAGCTTTATGATAGACTAAAGTTTGCAAGTTACCATGAAAACTGGACAAAAATATTGAATTGTAGGCTCCAAGAACAAAAATATTTGCACTGCGTAGATTATTGTCACACAGGACTATTCTCACCCTCTTGTTGCCATAGAGAAAATGAAATAACGGTAAAGACACCTGCAGTGCACTGCATTTTGTAAATATTTATAGTTGTCCTTCAAAATTTACTAATCTTTTCGTGTACGAATTTGAGTTTAAAAGAAGTTAATACACAAATCTTTCTCAAACCTCACAAATGTCCTTTTTCATATTTTATGCTCCTAAAAATTACTTAAAAATTTACCTCAACGAGAGTTTATTTCTGGGTTTATCTTCAGCAAAATATTAAGCGTAATCATCAACTGTATAATTTACATGACTTCATTGCTCAAAAATTAAACTCAATTGCTGAAAAATATCAATTTTGCATGCAACTCAAGCGTTTAGGTAGTATAAATGCACAAATCAAACAATTAGCATGCTTAATTATATTCTAGTAGGACACTTTAACAAATAAATATTAAATTAGGAAATGTTGGCATATAGGCTTTGTTGCGACAATAAATAAAATATGCTGCATTGATAATCAACTCTTCGATATTAAAATTTAATATTTTGTAGTTGTTGTCGCATATCCGTACCTACAGATAGTTGCCATACATTCATTTATATGTCATTAATTACCTTTTGTTTTCGCGCCTTACGCAGCATTTTGACGCGCGTCGACGCCTGTCGCATGTACACATCCGTCGATGAGCGTACATAACCCGCAGGTGTAATCGGTGCACTCGTCACTGTCGTCTCACAGCCGCGACAGTCTTCGATTTTCAGCAGCGTATCCTTAGTGCTGCAACATTTCAGATTTGCTGACGTCATATTCTCATAGAGACTCTCGTGCGGGCAGATTGCGGCAGACGCGTCGATGTGTGGTGGCGTGTGTTGCTGTTGTGGTGCTGCCGCGTTGCCCGTTTCCTGCTGCTGTTGTTGTTGATACAACATTTGCTGTTGCTCCGCCGCTATGGCGGAGGTTTTCAATTTATTGAACTTGCTGCCGCTGGAATGACCTTTCGACTTTCCGGCCACACCCGGCGCCAAGGGTGCGCTCACGCTACTGGCGACTAATGCGCCACTTGTCGCTGTGGCAGCAGCATTGGTCGCGGCTGCTGCTTCCTTTTCCTTATCACTGTTACTGTCATCGTCCTCATCATCCGATTTAATTAGTTTGCGCGGCCGATAGCGGTGTTGGCGACGTGTGTGTCCATGTCCGTGACCAGCGTTTGTCTTTGTCGCCGCGTCCAATAAGCCGGCCGTTGCGCCGTTCCCTGTTTTTTTCAACTTACCGCCGCCGCCGCCACCCGCGCCTCCACCGTTAGCTGCAGCGGCGGCCGCGGCTGATTTTGATTTGCCCTCAGGGCTGACAGTAAGACGGACGTTGATTGTTTTACTGCCACAGTGTGGTACCACCACGGACTTGCCGATCGACTCGTATATCGTGTAGACGATGCCGACAATGTCATCCTTTGTGATTTTGCCGTGATGGCCGTCGAGGTCGTAGAAGGTGAAGGAGAACTGTAGTGGCTGTGTGGACTTACCACCCTCAACGGAAACGTCGCAAGTGAACTCCTGTGCACAAATTGAAGGGGAGAAAAGAAAAGAAAAGAAGAAAAAACATAAATGCCGTTAGTGTATATGTTGATAGCAAACACAAATAGATAACTAGAGAAGTTCTGAGTTGTAGAAAATATTGAATTGCGCTGACATGTTTAAAAATACTGTCTAGCATTTATGATTTGCCTGCCTCTTCAAGTTTTCATTGAGGCAGACGCAGTTTTTATTTTGCCTCTTTACAGCTTGAGTGCTCGCAAACAGATAGACATATTCATATTTTCCCCCACTTCTGCGCTTAGTGTTTAGTCTAGGCCTTCAGCCTGCCATTTTGCGTTTGCTTGTCTTGCAATTTTATGCTCTAATAAATCCCGTTACGCCACTCGCAATATTTTTGCTTAAAAATTTACCCAATATAGGACAGTACGTGCAGAATTGCAGACTACTATACAGATATGAAATTTTTTTAAAGCATTTGAAAGAAATCTGCTTCATGTACTTCATTGAAATGCATTACATTGTCGAGTGAAAACGGGAAGCGAAAATTTTTGGCAATTAGCCATTTGCGTTTCAATAAAATTAATGAAAATTTCGTAGAAGAATTCTGAGTATAGATGTGAAATGTTTATGGCAGAAGATTGAGCTAAATAGGACTCTGTATGACGAGCGCAAAATAACTATGGTGTAACTAGTTAGAAGACACGGACACGGGTTTTTGAGGCTAAGGTATACATTAAATTATATTATAGTAAATTTTTGCATGAAGTGAAAATATTTTTACGCATAAAGACGAAAATGTTATAGCTAGTAAATTCTTGTAGATCTGTATTTAGTGCAAATCAACATAAAATGATAACTTTTTTAGTTTATTAATCAAATATTCAAGTTTGTAACAAATGAGTAAATTACAAGGTTGTTAGTTAATGATTTGCTATTATAACAATTAATAGTACGAGTGAGGTAAATAAGTCAAATCATTCTTTATTTTTAACAGTAAAATGTAAAATTTTTAATTATGAACATTTTAAATTTGCGCAAATAAAATCGATGTTTTTCTTACACATGCAAACAGCAAATGGATATTATTTGATCTCAAGACTTATGTATTTATAGACATGTCGAAAGCTAAACGATTGGGAAACTGTAGCCTTCTGAATAGAATTGTAGATTAAGACGGTATCATTGGCAACAACTTGCTTTAAGAAGGTTGCTTCATTGTAATTCACTCTAGAACTCAAAGCTGCAATACCAATACGACTGTTGTCATTATCAGTCTGTCGCTGGTGACTGAGGTAGCTCGTGGCGTTTGATTGACTTCGACGACCTTAGGTCGTTTTCTCCTAGGCATTGTAAACAGTATCGCAATACGTCAATGTGAATCGAGCAACTTTAGTAGTTGACACGCTTCACGATAATAGCACAGATGACTAAAATATTAACATTCGAATTTTATTTTTCATTCCAATAGAAAGAGATATTTTGTGTGCGGAGTATTGGAATAAATAATTTCAAAAAATTTTTTTTGGTTTTCTCATGAATTCCTTGTTTATAATTATTGATTTTGTGGTGTTTACAATCTACTTGTATTCATTTATCACTCAAAAAACACATCTTTATTAGCTGGAATGTTTGAAAGATATATTTTTGAATCATAAAAACATAACGAAATAGCTAATTTCGACATTATGAACTAAAAAACTTTTGACAAATTGTTCGGGCTATCGACCCAATCTTATATGTACATATGTGCTATGTACAATATATCCGTAATTGAATCTTCTCTGGCCTACGATAAACATTTCAAACAAAAAATCAACTATATACTATATCGGGTCATGCTCTTTCGAGTTTTAGCGAGACAAACGAACAGTAATTCATTATACCCTGAACAGTGTACATTAAGTTTGCCACGAAGTTTGTAGCACCCAGAAGCAAACGTCAGAGACCCTATAAAATGTATACCTAAATGATCAGCATGATGATCTGAGTTGATTTAGCCATGTCCGATTGTCCGTCTGTCTTCCCCTTGCGGGTAGAGGTAAGAATTTACCTGCGGTAAGGCATGCCTGTCGTAAAAGGCGACTAAAAGCCAAATGCACTATGACTGTTATTTTATATTGCCCAGAAATATCAGCATAGTAAATGATGTTTGATAGTGCTATAATACTCAGCTTGAACTGATATTATAGACTTTAAATGAGATTCCAAATAAAAAGACATTTGAATATCAAGCGACAAATGTCACCAGTTAATAAGTAAGGCGGAGCTCAACTGGCAGTAGCTTCGGCTACACAGTCTTACCGGAGACTCAACTCTGGTACCACGAGGAGCAGAATGCCCTTAGACTTCGGTTCAATCTGCTCATTGGGTTTGGCCCTTTGGGGAGTATCATGGTGGCTGTGGTTTAAACCTAAATGCTGGAAGAACTGAATTTTCAGTTCAAAAAAGAAGTTGCACAAGCAACTGGGTTTCGTAACCGAAAACGAAAGAGGTTTTAGGTCGGCCTCGAATCCTACCAAGATGGTCAGTGTGCCCCTACACACTGGCCACTGCTAACCAAATTAATACTTGCAAAAAGCTCGTATTATTTGGGGCGCTTATCAACGCATTGTTTTGATACGTTGTGCTTTGGAGTACCGTGAGGTAAGGCCGTCGACGGCAGGTACTCACGTTAAACATACCGGACGTTGTCCGTCTGTCTAGTCTCTCAGTGTTTGAGATATCGATCTTTAATTTAGGATATGACCGTTTCTCCCTAAGAAACTGCATATTTGTCGGAATGGCCGATATCGGACTACTATAGCATATTGCTGCCATACAAACTGAACCATCGGGACAAATTCTTGTATGGAAAAATTATTTGTTTGACGAGATATCTTCACGAAATTTTAAACGGATCGTTATCTAAGATATTAATGGAATTTCCAAAGAAATTGTTCGAATCGGATCAGTATAGCCTATTGCTGCCATACCAACTGAACCATGGAAATCAAGGTCTTGTAAGAAACCTTTTGTATTTGGGAAGGGTATTACAGCTTCGCTGCAACCAAAGTTAACGGTGAGTTTTCGTTGTTTTTATAAAGTATACATACATATATGTATGTATAGATTTGTCAAAGAGGCGAGTATTTGCGATGTGCATATTTGAGTTTTAATCCTGAACAGGGTATATTCATTTTGTCACGAAATTTGTAACACCCAGAGAGAAATATTGGAGACCCTATAAAATATATGTACATATATATAAATGATCTGGATACCAATTTGAGTCGATTTAATTACAATATGTCCGTCTCTCAGCCTGTGTGTAGGAATGCATGATGGATGCGGTTTTAAGATGTTTTGGGTACATTTGAGATTGTAGACCAGTTTGTTGACAAACGTACCTACACGTTCTACTTTCTAGGTATGCATTTATAAACAAAATCATAGACGGTCGGTGCCAACAACTCCATTTTTATCCAGTAAAGCATTTTCACCACAGCAAACATTTTCAAAAGTAACAACAATATCTAAGTAAATAGATTAAAATGTTGTATTTCACAAGACCACCTTTGTAAAGAAAGAAAAAAATATTTAGCTCAGGTTGACACGAAAGATTTGAAAACCAAAGCAAACCTCATTTTTGGGATAAGATACTTCTGTGTTTGTGTATCCGACTCTTTTCGGATTCCACAATTCTTTGAGTTCCAAAATGTAGGCGTTTTAATCAACAACTCTCTAGAACTTTGCTAGACGAGTCTAAATTGTATGAAGCACAACATATACATCTGATATCGCAAAATGCTTCACAGTTACAAACTTACATATGCACCACAATAACAAAAATCGACGATGGTTGCAAAGTGCAGCCGAAACCAACAAAATCTTTTAATCAATCCACAAAAATGCAAAATTTATTTATTTTCCGACAGAGGAAGCAGGCATGGTGCCTGATTTAGTGCCGCTTTCAAAAAACGTTTATTGTGTTGAATTCCACTTTTTTATCGAAATCTTGCAAATACTCCTTGTGCCGTAACGTTGAATTTTGCATTGAGATCGCACCATGAGGTGCATTGCGGGAAGTGTTGGCGAGCGGGTGACAGAGTGTTGATGTAAACAACCAGCTCCCGTAGATATACGGTGAAAATCACACTGAATTTGATTTGTTAACGAAAACAGCGAAAGCCACTTCTGTAGTGAGAGCTTACGGTACTCACGAGCCAAATCCAATCAAATCCGAAATCCGTTCATTTTGTTTCAATTGCAGTCCGTAGCGCTTGGTTTGCAGAATTGTGTAGAGATTTATTTGTTATTTGTGCAAACATGTGCAATTAGTAAGGAAACAAAATTCAGATCTGCTGGTGCATAAAGGCGAAAATACGTCAAACCAAATCTGTAGAGCTTGCAAAGGGGAGAAATTGTGCTTGTTGTTAAAAATTATTTATGTATATCTAGTGTTAAAGACGACTACAATTCACCAAGTTTAAAAAAATTTAAACGATAATTAAAACGAACTCCTTCCCCACTTGGCTATTTTAGCTCAAAATCTTCTGCATCATATCTACATACATATTTATATGACCGGATCCATGTTTATATCTGCCAAAGGACAGTAAACTATTTGGAGAATAATTGATACCGTACATAATGAGAGATTCTTAAGTGTTAATTTTGGTCACAAGAGAACTTTACTTTTCGACTGCAGATCAAAATATACTCGAAATAATATTTCTCTGATTCCATGTCAGATTTCAAAAAATCCAGGTATTGGACAAATTTTATTTTAACAAGTAAGGAAGAGCTAAATTCGGATGTAACCGAACATTTTATACTCTCGCAAAGTCAAATGGTATACTCGTTTGAGATTTCTTTGTGGATTGGCTGATATTTTCGGTAGAAGGTCAACTATAGGCACTGGGGTCTACATATTTAGTACTTAGGGGTTTGATTCGATTTAGACAATTTTTGGTCACAGGGTGGCATACTTTAAACGTATTATTCACGCAAAGTTTTACCCCGATATAATCATTGTTGCT